TTGTTCACAGTAGGCACTGAATATATACTGGTTGAATGGATGAAACAATGAAATACCCTTAAAAGAAAAAAGAAAGAAAAACATGGTTAAGAAAGAGTTAAAGGCTTTAAGTGGCAATGAGAGAGGAGAGGTCAAAGATGCCACTAAAGGAGTGTAACTGTCTAGGCCCCAGAGTCAGAAGCAGGGTACATGAAGTCATAGAGCAGATCACATCTAAGCCTATACACTAGGGAACCAAGGAAAATACGTTAAGCAGCCAGACAATTGTGGCAGGCAAAGGTAGTCTGGAATTAAACAAAAAAAAGGTGAAGAGAGGTACATCTTATAAACTAAAGTACAGCAAATTTATCAATACTGCCTGATATAATTCTTGAATATATTTTTTAAAAGGCTGTTAAACACTTCAGAGATGATTGTTTTTGTCGTCCCTAAGAACATGACATGAGTATGTCAGTATAACTTTATTTCCTTTTCGGATTTTGAGGGAGAAAAATCAAACAAATGCTAGGCACCTTTTAATTTTTTTGCAAGAAAGCTGAGAAAATCTCTCCTAATTTTGTGGATAAGATGGAAAAATGGAGGCTAGAAAAGAATGAAGTTTGGTGGATTTACAGTTGGTTTAACAAAAATATTCCATGGATCTTGAATAATGGATCAAAATTGTCCCAAAGGGCAATTTCTTATCATGTGCTACAGGATTCTGTATTTAGTAGAGTCCTAATGAACACTTTAATCAAAGGTGCACATTATGTGCACATAAAAAACATAATGGCAGGCATCTTTTCAGTCTAATGCAGCAGTGCCTAGAACAATGTCTGACATATACAGGAATGCACTCAATAAATATTTATTAAATAATTCACAGAAAGTCCTCATTAAATTTGTAGATCATACAAAATAAGAAAGTTAATATTCTTATCTTTATTTCATGGGAGATGTATTAATCTTTTCTAATATTTTTGTTATCTAGCCTATCAATAGGATTGCTGTGAGTCAGAATTGACTTGATTGGTAATGGGTTTTATGGACCTATCTATCTGGAATGTAGGGTGACTGGTATGGAAACTGACGAAAAAAGAAAATAAGTAAGAAAGAAACACCTAGGACATATACTGGCAAATTATAGGCTATGGGCCAAATCTTGCTTGTTGCCTACTCTTATAAATGATGTGTTATTGGAACACAGCCATAGTCATTCATTTATGTATCAACTTTGCACTAAAATGGCCGAGTTCAGTCATAATAACAGAAAATGTCTGAAGAACTTAAAATATTACTATCTGGCTCTCTCAGAAAAAGTTTACCAACCACTGATCTAGAATGTTGAATAAAAGTTTCAACCTGGAAAAAACCATCAGGACACAAAGCTACAAAACTTGAATGCATACATGGTCTGCATTGAGAGAAGTATAGATGGAAAAGCAAGATCCACGCCTGTTCTGGAAGTGATATTTCAGTAATGACCTTGAGAAAGTACTGTCTATCCAGTGGACAAGAGGAAGGTACAATGAAAATAACCATTTGAAAACAAGTTAAAAGAATATAAAAGAGAAGAGAGTAGAAAATGGTCACTACTTTAAAAGATCTGAACCATGGAACAAAAATGGATGCCATACTCTATTTAGTTTCCAATTTAGTACAAAGTAACTGTAAGCGAGTTCAGGAAGGCAGACTTCTGAATGAACAAGCTTCTTTCATGCAGTTAGAAATAAAAATGAAATGGGTTGCCTTTAGAAAACAGGCTGATGCAAGGGTGAGGGGGGCACAGCAGGAATTCCTATTTTAGAGGCTGGGGATTGATGAGACAGTAAAGGTTAGATTAGATGGTCTTCCAGCTCTGAGATTCTGTGAAATCAAAACTGTTTACTGAACCCTTCTGGCATTCTGAGAACACAGGAGCAGACACGCAAATAATCTTTTCCTGCCTACATGACCCTGGCTCTTTAAGCAAAAGTTCCTCTTTGAGTTTTGGTGAAAGCACCTGAACAGAAGACAGAATTGAGGGCAGCAATGCCGTGCTTGACTGAGGAGAGGAGAGCCCACATATCAGGTGGCAAATATAGGATAAGACTGGTACTCAGGAGACTCTACTGTGTTTGAAACATAAAATGAACATAATTCCTCCAGGCTCAGTGGGGAACCCAAGGAGGCATAGGTCATGGCCTGACATGCAAGGAACTGTCAACTGGGAGGAAAGAAAGACATATGGGCAGAAAAGGGTTCAAATAACCATGTAAGAGGACAAGATTTGAGAACATTCAAAAGAACAGCTGAGGGCAGGTTGCAATTACTGCCAAGCACACAGAAGGTTTTTGTAGATGATCTAGTTATAACAACGGAACCTTGACAGATGGATCAGGTTTTCTGGTGGAAGCTGAGACTATGGCCCTTAGACATCCTTCAAGCCTGGACTGAACTTACCCTTGTGGCTCAACTTTCAGTCAAATAATCGACAGGTCTACAAGGTGAACAATAAGACCAGGGAGGTATGCACTCCTTAGGACAACCAACCATATGCGATTAAAAGGACAGAATTTTCAAGACTGAAACTCAAAGGGAACACACGAGCAGTCTTGTAAGCTCACTGGTGACCATGTTGGTCTACTTGTGGAAAGGCAGCAATGAAGATATGGGCTGAGTTCAACCATGTTCCATAGACACCTACAGACCTTGACATGAGAGAGAAAAGAAGAAGGGCTAGTTGGTAAGAAGCTTAGGGAGACTTGGGAACTCCTGAGCCTAGCCACTGGGGCCTAGAGCTGAAAGTGAAGTGACCAGCTGATCTGAAGTGGGGGAAGGAGTTCAAGAATGCACAAACTTGCAGATAGTACCCATTTGAATTAGCATGGATGGCTTGTTGATCAGAGCTTGACTAGAGGAAGATAAAGTTTGATATAGGAAGCAAGTGTAAATTGCTACAATTTGATGAATTTGACCTTTGCTTATGGATGTAGTTGCTCAAAATTCCAACCAAGAGCGAAGGCATCTTCACATCAAGGATCAAGCCTATCTCCTCAGTACACAGGGTTAATGAGGATGGACAACTTAAACACTGGCTACCAAAAATGGGGTACTGTAATGGCACAAATTGGCAGGCTTAAAGTTTTCAAGAGTGTGCTTAGTTTCAGAGTGAGGGAAGTAGGGTAGAATCTCCACTGAATAGTTTTCTTCCTGTCTAGATGGGTCTGGTGAAATGGGTTGGGAGAAGATGGGGATAAGGAGTCTTTTGATTCAATAATGAGTAATTGCTATCATGACTAACTGCAACTGTCACAATAGTAAAGGTAGAAGATGAAAAGGTAGAAACAAAAAGAGGGGAGTGGTTAATCTTTCATTCCAGGAGCAGAGGACCCTAGGACCATCAAGAGGGAAGAGCATGAGTGGAGTGTGGGATCCTAGCCAGAGAAGCAGCGACAGCAGAGATGGAAGTAGAGGTGATGGCGTAGAGAGACAGAGCAGCTGAGGGCTCCAGGCCCATGGAATGAGAAAGGCTGTGTGCCAGTGGGCAGGACACTGACTTGCAAAATATGCCCTTTGGCTGTTTAAATGAATATATATTTTCTGAGTGTTTTGTGTAAATAAAAAAAAAAGAGAGAGAGAACAGAGGTAAATACTATTAATTGATGGTGCGTGGAGGGGATTATAATCATTGCAATGAAACAAAATACAATTGGTTGAATGCAAAACTTATGATCTGTCCTGTAAACTATCACTCAATTCACAATAAAAGCTTTAAAATAAAAAGGGGGGGGGCAGCATTTGCCCAGGCTTATAAGGCAAGAAGGGATAAGGAAGAAGTAATGAAAACAGTAAACACAAGAAGGCAGTAGGATGAGCAATGTTACATTGTGGGGATTGCAATCCATTTCATGAATCAAATATGCATGAATTGTTGAATGGAAAACCAATTTTCTCTGTAAACTTTAACCCAAATCAGAATACAAAGTTGGGAAGGAAAAAAGAATAGACCAAAGACTGGCACATTGCTCCCTTCGGTCAATTTATTGACCTTCAAGCATTCACAGCAAGCTGGCTGTCCTCCTGGTATCACCACCAACCTAAAGCAGTTACTGCTCAGAGGCCCTGTTGTGGGAAATCTGAGGGGAACCTCAGCTTCTGTGAATGATTTAGGATAATGGACAAACAGTAGAGACAGTCAGGATAAGCAAAAGCTCAAATGTAGAATACTCATTTCTGTCTGGAGCTTAAATAACCTGCTATCTTCTTAACTTCACTTTCAAAGAAATACTCTCTACAGGCAACACAGACTGACCTGCCCCAGAGGCCTTTTAGCAGACAGGCGACAGCTCTGGTACAGGAGCACACCACTTCTTTCTTTAGCAGAACTCAAACTACCCACAAAGGATCCTGAAGGAGGCATTGATGATGACTCCGTTTTACAACCATAGACATCAGGCACAGAGGAGGATGACCACTTGTCCTGAATCATACAGTAAGTTGAGGAGCCAGTACTATTGAAAGGATTGTATTTTACATATTGGAATGGAGGCAGTATTCAGAGCAGTGTTGAGGACTTCATGAGGCTCTGAGTTTCTTCTTAAGGAAGCATTGAGGCCTTTTTTTTTGAGTTCTGGGGCAGGGTAAGTATGCTGGAAGTGGAAGAAGACCAAATCCACATTCCATGCTGTTGCCTTAGTTATTTCATTGACACCTGCTCCAATGCCCACTCATCTGAGACTCCACAAGTTGGGCGCCTTCACCTTCAGGAGAATACCAGTTGAAATCAATATTCTCCCTTCCTCGTAAGTTAGAAAATCAGAACTTTGTTTCATTCTTCAAGACTTTTGAAGTGACATACATTATAGATATAGGAGGGACTGGGACAAGCACTTGTTCCAAGCCTTCTGGGTTGTATATGAGTTCTCAGAAGAGAAGGGATAGATTCTCACTCCAAGTTGCTGGTTGAGCTGGCATAAAGCGGGACTACAGGAAGCCACAGGGAGGAGAGCTCCCAGAGCAGCAGGGTAATCTACCCTTACCTTCCAGAGAATGGATTCCCTGTTCCTTGGAGGTCTTGTAAACACTGCTGAAATCATCTCCAAGGTTGGGGTCAGCCCCAGCGGCAAGCAAGACCTGCACCACACTGGAAAAAACAATAAGTGTCAGAAGCAGTCAAGGACCAGGAAGCAGACCCAGATTCTGAAGTATGTTTAAGGGTGATATCTACCTGTTCATGTGCATGGTACAGTGAATAGAACATGGACTCTGGGCGTGTAAAAGGTGAGGGTAGGAAATCATTAGCTGAGAGTTCTGGACAAGTTACTTAACCACTGTAAGGCCTAGTTTTCACAACTACAGAATACAAACTATTTACACAACAATTACTTTCAGAAAGGAGCCCTGGTATGACCCTGTAGGATGGCAGTGGTAGCATACTGCGGAGTTGGTTCTAACTCATAGTGATCCTGAAGAGTGTTCCTGAGGTTGTAAATCTTTACAGGAGTAGAAAGCCTTATTTTTCTCCCGCGAAGCGGCTTGTAGTTTCAAACTGCTGACCTTGAGGTTAGCAGCCTGACTCATAACCACTATGCAACCAGAGCTCCTTGACTCTGTAAGATAAGCACTGAATTACTAACAGCAAGGTCGGCAGTTCAAACCTGCCAGCTGCTCCTTAGAAACCCTATACAAGGTTGCTATGAGTTGAAACCGATTAGTTGGCATTTAACAACAACAACTTAGTGCTAATTACTGTTCTAGGTGCTAGGATTTGGACCCTCATGGATGGAGCTTACAGTCTGAAAGGAAGGGTAACAATTCAGCATAAAATTCCAGTAAAGTGTTTTGAAGGTTCTAATGGGAGAAGTCTTGTATGCTAGTGGGACAACAAAGGAGGGGATTCAGGAAAGGCCTCCTAGAAGAAGTAATATTTAAGATATTTAAGATTTGAAGGCTAAGTAGCTGGATCGAGCATGGTGAAATAGGAGGACCCAATACATCTAGAAATCCTGGCAGCAAGACAGCATAGTGCTAGATCTGAGCGTAAAGAAGTTGGAGTAGAGCATAAGGGAAAGAACAGTGTGAGATGAGATGAACCACTCAAGGGTTAAAAGAGGAAGTGACATGATCAAATATTCTCCCAATTACAAAAGATATATTTTCTTTTAAAAACATTCAAAGAAGAACAAACAAGATGGCGGATCAGGTGGATGTATAGCAGAGAGCTCCGCCAACAACAACACAGAATACCCAACCAAGCAGGCTCAGGGGATGGTC